GGAAGTGAAAGTTATCCTACCTCAGAATTTGGACGTAAAGTTGCTCAAGAAAATACATCAAGCATCACACATGGGCACACAGAGGATGCAAGACTTACTAAAAAGGGCCAAAGTTAAAATTCAGGAAGGAAATCAAGCCATTGAAAAAATTGTTAGGCATTGTTATGCCTGCCAATTAACAAACTCAGCTCCATCCCATGCTAACCCAGGATCCAGGAGCAGAGGGACATGACCGGGTACATATTGGGAGGCGATTTCACTGAGATCAAACAGGGAAAATTTGGATATAAATACTTACTAGTATTCATAGACACCTTCTCTGGATGGACTGAGGCCTGCCCAACCAAGCATAAGACTGCTCACATGGTAGCCAAGAAGCTAATCAAAGAGATCCTGGCCAGGTATGGTTTCCCAACTACAATCGAATCAGATAATGGGCCAGCCTTTTTCTCTCAGGTAAGTCAGGGAATAGCCACTGCACTGGGGGCCAATTGGAAACTACATTGTGCTTATAGACCCCAGAGTTCAGGACAGGCAGAAAGAATGAATAGAACTCTAAAAGAGACCTTAACCAAATTAGCTTTAGAGACTGGTGCAGACTGGGTGGCTCTCCTCCCCTTTGCCCTTTTTAGAGTAAGAAACATTCCATACCAGATGGGTTTGACCCCCTTTGAAATCATGTATGGAAACCCCCCTCCTATGATACCTAGGCTCCAAGCTGACCTACCTTGGGAGACCAGGACCTACTGGACTTACTCCAATGGTTGCAGCTAACCCACCAGTGGGTCTGGCCACAACTCAGAGCCACATATGAAGCTGCTGTCCCCCCGGAACCCCACAGGTTTAAACCAGGCGACTGGGTCTTCATCCGCAGACACCAACGGAAAAATCTCCAGCCAAGATGGAAGGGCCCCTTCGTGATCCTCTTGACGACTCCCACCACACTCAAAGTGGACAACGTCACGGCTTGGGTGCACTACTCCCACGCAAAACCTGCCAACCCATTTGCAGTCCCAGAGGATTACAAGGGAGACATCTGGAAGGCATCCCCACACCCTTCTAATCCATTCAAGCTCCACATCCGACGAGACCCTTCCTGTTAACCTGTCTATTGTTGACAGTGAACTGCTTATTGGCTGATGGCACCTTTCCTGCAAGTAACATAAATCCCCATATGCCCCTTAGCATGATCCCCCCAGATACCTGTGAGCTGGCCGACCAGAACCCATGATTAGGTTCCCCAGTTACAAGACAAGGGGGGAATGTAGGACCCTGAGACCCTCTTCATTCACCCGCTACCCCCCAATCCCTCCAGACCCCCACTAATTGCTCTTTTAGCGTCTGTAAAATGCTTGGCTGCTGCTTTAGACATGCCCAGACATGGCCTGGCATACCCTGACCCCCGCCTGCTATCCCCCCCCCTTCCAGGAAACTATAGATTAAGCAAGCTTGGGCATGAAAACTGCCCTATAAGGTAAAAATGGAGACTCCTGGCCCCACAGATAACAGCACATTCCACAGCCCTGAGAATAGCACCTACCAATAAGAAACTTTCAGGGCTGCATCTTATACATCCAATCAGTTTAAAATTATGTTGGCGCAGGCAGGCTCCTTGAACCAACCAAAATATATCTTCGGTATCCCCCTCCTCTCTTTGTCTAAAACCTATAAAAGGCTCCACTCTCCCTTACTCTGGGCTGTCAGCATGGATCGTTGGGTTGGTGAGGTCTGAGAGCTCGAGCTTAAGCCCAAATAAACCATAAACTTTTGCTTTTGCATTTTGGTGTGTTGGGTCCTCGGTGGTCTTTTGGGGGGTCCAGTGGATGAGGTACAACAGTGACAATGAAAAACGAATCCCATTTCTAGCTTTCCATGGTCTCCTAAGAGCCATTAACAGCATTGGAACTTCATTTCCCAGAAGGCACCACGGCGTCTGATTCTGCGAGGCTTAGGGGAAACTCTCTTGGCTCATCCACGCTTGACGTTAGGGCGCGCGCGGCATGCTGGGACTTGTAGTCTAGCCAGAACTCGGACGCCCCCTCGGTTGAATGGGGCTGGTGCTGACTGAGAACTACAGTTCTGGGCTGGCCCTACCCTTGGCGGACGCGGAGGGAGAGGATAGCTCCCGGACAGTGTGTGATGTTCGGTGCCACCTTCCTACGGTAGCGGTGTAGACGGGCGCTTCCTCTGCGCGCTCGCTCCCCTTTCTGCACCCCGGCCATGCGCCCGGCCTTCGCGGTGGGCCTGGTGTTCGCAGGCTGCTGCAGTAATGTGATCTTCCTAGAGCTGCTGGTCCGGTGAGTGACCCGCGCGGGCCGCGCCCGGACTCCGGGGCTGGTCCGAGGCAGCCACCCTAGCCCTGGCCACGTTCCCACCCGGCTGCACTGGGAATACCCTCAGGGTGCGCTACTCCGCAGCCCTGCGCACCGTTGCATCCCGCTGCATCCAGGTGACGGGGGCACCCAGAGTGATGCTGTCATCACCCCAGTGCCACACTGTGAGAGACTGAAGCCCGAGGCTTTTACAAGTAACTGGTCCAAGGTCTCAGGGAACTGGTGGCAGAGCCTAGGTTCCCCCACTAAGCCACCCTCACTTTCCTCCTTCCTCTCCAATTCCAGCTCTTTTCTTCGTCCACTTAAATGAATGATACGTGCCCGACTTGAGCAAAGCCTTCTCACACACAAAGCAGTTTCATTTTGTACAGGTTGCAAAGAAAGTTTCATTTGTGTTAGTGTTCCACAAAGCGTTTGCTTTTAATGGTCTTAGAGAAGGTTTATGAGTCTTTGGCCCAAACATAACATGTCAGTGATGTGGAACAGAAAATAATAAAGGAGTTGTCAAAATGGTCCCGGAGTGTTCCCAGTTTTACTGTATTATGATTTATAGCCTTTAAATTGGGAAGCGTGCACTTTGAAGTATAGCTTGACAATGATTATGACACTTTCCCAAAGGGAACGAAGTTGGCTTTATGGAGGTGGCTTACAAATAATCTTAGGTAATAACGTGCAAAGTTCAGTAAGCAGAAGTTACAGAAGAGAAAACTTGTGGGGTGGAAAAGGTTTAGGACTAAATAGCTCCAAGTTCATAATTTCAGTTTTGTCTCCATTACTTTCTGGCAATGTACCTTTTCAACTTCGATAGCTTCTCTGGACCTTCTTTCCTGTAAAAGAATTACCCATGCCATCTAGCTGTGTGTTTCTGAATCTATCATATTGTGTCCCTTGACTATCTGAATAATCCTGGGGTCAAGAATTGCATTCAACAGGGCGTGTTGGTGCTCGCCTTTAATCCCATCACTGGGGAGGCAGAGGCAGGTGAATTTCTGTGAGATCGGGGCCAGCCTGGTCTACATAGTGAATCCAAGCCAGCTGGGGCTACAGGGAGACTCTGTCTCAAAATGACAAAAAACAAAACAAAACATTCTTTTTGCTGAAAATGAAACAGATCCAAAGAAGTTAGGTTGCTTTTCACCCCGTGTAAGTGGTCAAGCAAGAAATGGGATCCGAGATTTCTATCTAAGCTCCTAGTCCAATACCATTTCCAGGGCTCTGTTTTTTGTTTTTTTTTTTAACTTTGGTCACTGATGTCTAGTAGAAATAGTTTTTTATTCAGTACCATTGAGTTAAGCCATTGTGAGGCAAGCAGTTTACTTACGGTAAACTCTGTATGGGGTTACATTTTGCAGTTACAGAGCTTGACATTTTATTAGGTGGATTGTTGATAAAGACTGATTGTCTTGGGAGTAGATGATAAGGAAAATGAAAACAAAAAGGAAAATATCTGGCTTTAAGCCTGTTACAGTTCAAAGGAAGGCCACTTTGGAACTGATACACATTTAATGTGTTTTTAAATGTAAAAAGTGATATATTCAGGCCAGCTATGGAAATGAAGGTCAGAGAATAGTAGTTCAATATTTGTGTGGAATATGCCATTAAATTAAATGTTGCCAAAGACTGTGTGATGCCAGAATATGCTAACAAATGAAGTCTGTGTTTACTAATTTGTGAGCCCTTGGCAGAAGTACTTGGTTTCAGCCATCAAAGGAGTGATGGTTCCATCAGCCCCATGGGTTTTGAAGGACTGAATGAGATGCCCGTGGAAAGCCTTAAGTACACTCTTAGCTGGCGTTCCCTTTCCAGCTTACAACTTTGTTTCAATACAGGCAGACCTTATTTTCTGAGATGGTCCAGAAAAGTTAAGGATATCTACCTTTATAAAATCTTTTCATGCCTTGTAGGAACTTTTATTTAGAATACTTTGAACAGTTTAAAATGAATCCACATTTCTTATTTAATTATTTTTGCAAATCTACATTTTTGTATACAAAGTGGGTTTTCATAAAATGGTGAGGAAGTGTGTTTATTAATAGAATCCAGAGTGTATCAGACCAATAGCAGCTTTTTCCTGATTTGCTTAAGCGAGTCACAACTTCCTCTGTTATAAATCAGTAAGATAGGCCTGCTTAGGCCAGATGGTCTTTAAAACTCTTCTAGATAGGATCTTGGAATTTGTGGTTTTAATCCTGGGACATCAGCATGGAAAACTCATACATTTTTATAGAGCAGAAACTGTGCTTTTTGAATAGTTTCCTTAGAACCCTTAAGTGCCCTAAATACAAAGACCAAAGTGACCTGTTGAAAGAAAAGAGCATTTTCCCTCATGTGGAAAACAAATTCAGGGTTTTCATTATGACTTTGGTGTACCTATAATTAGGACCAAGGATAAAATACAAACACAATACATTATACAAACAGTTTCAAAGTAACAAAGTGGGCCCTGACCACCCCCTCTTTAAGGAACTTATGTTCTACCTTAGAAAAGAGATACATGTTTGTATGAATATACCCGTTTTATATATGTGATCTATCTATGTATATCAGCTAGCTAAGTAGGCGAGGTGTTGAAATAATGTGTGTCTTCTATCAGGAAAACAATCTGAAACATTTCTTTTTCCCATTTAATTTTTCAATCAAAAACAAGGTTGAATTAAATAGGAACATTTTATGTCTAAGAAAGAAATGCAAACGATATAAGCTATCTGCATATTTCATTCTCTTCAAAGTTGCTGCTTTGTTTCTTTAAGGCAGGATCTCACTCTGTGGCCCCAGTAGGCCTGGAACTCACTATGTAGTCCATCCCAGACTGGCCTCAGTCTTCCAGTGACCCACTTGCCTCTGACTCCCAAGTGCTGGGATAAAAGGCATATACTGCCATGTCCAGCCACCATGCCTGGCTTTTTTTTTTTTTTAAGATTAAAATTTTTGATTTAGCCAGGCATGGTGTTACAAGCCTTTAATCCCAGCACTCAGGAAGCAGAGGCAGGTGGATCTCTGTGAGATTGAGTCCAGCCTGGTTTACATGGGAGTTCCAAACCAGCTACAGGGAGACCCAGTCTCCAAAAGATCAAAAAAAAAATTTTTTGATTTACCACAACTGGCTCAAAGTTGTTTTTTTTTTTTAATGATTAAAATTTGGATTTTTGCCAAAGAAAACTCAAAGTGAGAGAAACTATCTGCAGTTAATGATTATAATACTTGAGAAAGTTTAAGCGAACAAAAGCCTGAGGGAAATCATTTCAAGTTTTCACTCTGAAATTTTAAAGTAAATTATTCAGGTTAAAAGAAATAACCCCTTCACATTTCTCTCTCACATCGCCCATCTCCTAACACCCACCTCCATGGCTAGAGAAATGGTTCAGTGGTTAAGAGCACTGTCTACTTTATAGAGGATCTGGGTTTGGTTTCCACTTCCAGGGAATACAACATCCTTTTCTGGCTTCTGTGTGCATTGCACATATTTGGTGCACTTACATACTTGCAGGCAAACAGTATGTGTTCCCTTGATAGCAGTGCCAACAGTATGTGTTCCTAAAATGTACTCTGTATTACTTTTAAGAAACCTGCATTATGGGGCTGGAGAGATGGCTCAGTGGTTAAGAGCGCTGACTGCTCTTACAGAGGACCTGGGTTCAATTCCCAGCACCCACGTGATGGCTAACAAACATCCACAACTCCAATTCTAGGGGAGCCAATGCCCTCCTCTGGCCTTTGTGGGCATTGCACACATGTGGTGCACTTACATACATGCAGGCAAAACACTCATACACATAAAAATAATATTTTTAAAAGAAATATGGATTATATGATTCATTATAGAGAGGTTTAAAAATCCTATGGAAAGATTAGAACTGTCAGAAGACCTTGTGGGAAGGAGAAAGGGGGAAATGATTCCTGATGGGTATTGGGTTTTGCTTGGGATGTCCTAAAATTGGATGATGTTAATAATTGTACAACTAAAAACCCATCTAAAACCTCTTAATTTCAATGATGATAACAATAATAATGAAAGGGGTATACACAAACCCTATTTATTTGCCATGAAGTCCCAGGAGTTTTTACCTTAGTACCATATGGCCTCAGTACCTTTAGCAATGAAATATGCATAAATAAAGAGAAAGTAACAAAGAAAAATAATGCCTAGCTAATTAAAAAAAAAAAAACAGAGGGAACCATATTAGTCCAATAATCTACTGATACCTTATACATATAACTAGCTCAAGGAACATAATATATGTCTAGTCAAGGTTTATCTGAAAACATTTGGTTTTTGCCCAAGCTTTATCTATGTAGTGCATGGTAATTAAAAGTACCAGACTGGTAGAGCTAACCTATATTTAATAGCCATACTTTGAGACCTATACTAATCTGGTCAGAGGGACTTAAAGAGCAATTATTGCTCCTTGCCCTCCAAGGTCGACTAAGTTCCAGGGGACTATGGAGCATCTCTCAAAATGTCCTGTGACTGTAGTGAGTCACTTGTCCTCTTGATGAAGGAGGCTGTAGAGACCCCACCAGATGGACTTGAACCAGTGTCCAGTCTACAAAGAGGAGGGTCAACACAGAGGAAACATTTCCTCCATGCTTCCAAGTGAAGCCAGCCGTGGCCTTATCTTCACATAGATGGAACTGGTAAAAGAAAGGAGCCAGGGCTCCTCCCAAGCCCATGTGACCCCTGAGGAACAGATCCTCAAATGACCTTAAGAGTAAAAATAATTGTCTAATCTGGGCAAACTGTATGGTCTTAAACACCCAAAAGGAAAATATAACCAAAGATTAAAGTGATCAGTATAATTCTTTAAGAGTCCATGTGTATAGCTAAAGGTTACATAACAAGAAACAATGGCAGACAGGAGATACCTTCCTTTGAGTTGTTGGCCAGAGTGGCCCAAAAGACTCCCAGACTGTAACCCAGCATAGAACTGAGAAAATAAACAGCAGACCCCAGTCTTATCTAAAGGAATGTTGGCAACTGATTGCTGCTAGATGAGGAAGAGCTGATATTCCTAAAACAAGGAACTCTAGATAGGCTGACTAGACTCAGAGGATGGACAAACACTAGGAAATGGCTGGGGGCACTGACAACACAGTGGACAATAATAGGGATGACAGAGTATATGGGCTCCAGTGGGGGTGGGGTGGGGGGGCTATGGGAGGGTACCATTTGGGATGCAGATATAAAGATGAATAAGATTGTTTGGGATGTTCTGTATGAAATACACACAAAAAAAATCAATAAAAAACATGAGATAAAAAAGAGAAAAAAATTATATGAAGGATACACTTGTAAAATGAATATTAAAATCTGTTGTAAAATGCTAATATTCTAGCGTACATTTGCTTAAAGTGAGGTCTCCCCAAACTCTTGACTTACTTGAGTTGTGGCCAGACACTGTGTCCCATGATTAGGAACACAAAGATGAAAGGGGCCTGGCCCATGCGTTGGCCATCCCTACCAGGGTACTGTGTTCTTGCTGGCCATAGTTTGCGTTTGACTTCCTCTTGTTTTTGTCTTGAGGGCAGAGGTAGGGATCATTTCCACCATCTGTGCAGAATAGATTCTCAGGAATTGTGCTACAAGCTTTTGGTAGAAAACAGAAGTGCGAGCAAGAGAAGTTCTGAGCCTCCGGTGTTGCGCTTGGCCCTTCATGTTTTCTCATTGAATTCTCATTACAGTAATATATAATTTTCACTTTATAAAGGAAAAATATTGTCCATGAATGGTTTAGAAGGATAACTTTTGGTCTGGGAAATGGCTTAGAGGTTAAAGCACTTGCTGTGAAAGAGTGAGGACCAAAGTTCATATCCTCAGAACCCACATGCGAGGTGGGCATGGTGACCCTCCTGTAATTCCAGCCTCAGGAGGCAGAGATAGGTGGCGCCAGAGAAAACTGTGTGGGCTAGGTCCGGCTTTGACCCTGCCTACCTCAGTGGACAAGATGGAAGAGCAATGGAGGATGACTCCCAACATCAACCTCAGAACCTCGGACGCCTACTTGTGCGTGTGTGCGCGCGTGCACACACGCACACACACACACACACACACACACACACACACACGGTAAAAAAGGTGTTCACTGTTGTTTGACTGAAGACCTTTCAGTGTGTAAGCATCTATGGCCTGGTCATCATCCTGATTCTATTTGTCAGTTCACTCTATGGCGGGCACTGTGTTAAGTGCTTTTCAGGGACTGACTCATTCACACAACAGGAAACCAGTGATGGGCACTAAACTGTTTTAAAATTTTTGTAAGGATGAGAAAAATTAATTTAGGTAAGTTGATTAACTCCCACTGCAGGTGACAAAGGTGACTTGCAGGTCAATCGGAGCCACTGTGGAGCATGGTCACTCTCAGTCCTGTGTTACCATGAACATACAAACACACACACTCACAAGTAGATGTATGTGCAGACTCAGCCCTTTCCCTATTAGGATCAAATGTACTTTTACAAGTACAGATTCTCAGAGTCCTAGCTCAGAACAGTGAAAAAAGAACTGAGAGCGCGAACCCCTCCAGGAACATGGGTGTGTTGGCTTGTTTATTCATTCATTTAAGCGTGGTACTGGAGATTGAACCCAGGGCCTCATGCATGGTAAGCAAGTGTTCTATAATACCACTGAGTATATCCCCATCATGCCCTCTCTGGTGCATGGGTTTATGAATATCTGCTGGGACAGAGTCGACCTGCACTGTGCTACAAGCCATTTCAAGTTCAAGTTTTACTGTATCTTGTATTGAAGCAAATGGTTTTAATTAGCTCCTTGAATCATATAAAGGTCTTACATAATTATTTATCGATTCCTACAAAGTTTAGCCTTATTTCTTGAACTCAAGAAACTCTAAAAGGCAAATTGATCCAGAAATTGAATTCCAGACTTATTCTTGACTGCCTGATGGATTGAAACACTATGTTAAGAGTTACAGGGCACCATACGCTACAGCAATATTGTTCAATCATTTTTAGCTTATTGCCCCAACCACAGAATGCCTTTTTGATATTTTTTAAAATATTTTTGAGACAGTGTCTCCCTGTGGCCTCAGCTAGCCTGGAATGCACTATGTAGACCACGCTGGCCTCAATCTCACAGGTTCTCCTGCCTCTGTCTCCTGAGTGCTGGGATTAAAAGCATGTGCCACCACACCCAGCTTGACATTTCTTCTTTATCATCCTTGCATAGATAAAATTGTGTGTGTGTGTGTGTGTGTACAGACATGTATATATGTACCTTATTAAAAGAGTAAAGTCATGTCTTAGCCAGGAAAGATAAACATTTTAAGAGAATTCCAGCATATTTCTGTCCTTGGGTTTTGCTGCTAACCTGCCTCAGCTTCCTGACCTTTTGACTAATGAGGAATGTATTAGGTTTGCCAGGACATTTCTTGCAGTTTGCTGGGAAAGCTGTACCACACTTCTGGCAATGAGAGGGATTCTCATTCAAAGCCTGCTATACCTAGGAAAGAGTGACAAGACAGTTTGGCATTCTCAGTGAGGCGTGATGTGAGAGTGTGTGATCCATGGGATGTGAGAGTTCAGATGACAAGGCAGTGGGCTGCAGAAGTCCTTCCTTCTCATGACTTTGGAACTGAAGCTATGACAAATTGTCCTGCCCTTTACCTCAGTTTTGTGCCGTACTTTTTCTTTCTGTTATTCACTGTACAGGAAGCATCCAGGATGTGGGAACATCGTGACATTTGCACAATTCCTATTTATTGCTGTGGAAGGCTTCCTCTTTGAAGCTGATTTGGGAAGGAAGCCACCAGCTATCCCAATACGGTAAGGCACATTGAAGTCTCTTTCAGCCCTTTTCAAAAGCCAAGAAGTATGAAGTATACGTTTCTAAGATCTAGAACAAAGGTTTGAGTGGGCTGGTTAGTTTTAAATAGCTTTAAAATTTTTTATTTTATTTTTAATTATGTGCATGTGTTTGTGTCTGTGTTTGGATATGTACACATGAGTATGGGTACCGTTGGAAATCAGAAGAGGATTTTGGATCCCCTGGAGCTGGAGTTATACACAGTATGAACTACCTGACGCAGGTGATGGGAACTGAACTCAAGTTCTCTGGAAGGGCAGTATGCACTCTTGACCACTAAGCTGTCTCTTCAGCCTGAATAATTAGTTTTATCAGTTTAATATTTTGTATCACTCTAGAAAATTATTTTTAGAATAAAATTCCTGCCCACAAAATTTAAAATTATTATGCTGGAGATAAGTGTATATGTGTGTGGTACGGGGTTAGTCAAAGGCCTAATGTGACCGTAGATTTTTAATATTTATATATGATGTTCTTTGTGGTGGTAAAATTATCAGTTATGCTAAGAGTGGTATCATTGAACTTTTTGGAAATAAAGAGGTAGTAAGTAAACAATCTACGAATTACTAAATGCTACTGAATTGTTTGCTTGCAAATGGTTGATTTTATGTTGTGACTGTGAATTTCACTTCAATTAAAAGAAAACAAATGATAAGCTAATCAAAAATTGTTACTGCTAGACCTCTGTCCATCAGTTCACACTTGCCTAAGTGTAGTCATGGGGCCAAACACAAAGAGACTTTGTGACAGAGACTTGAGATAGACTGCTGAGTGATTCGTGTCACCTAACCCTGTGAGACACAGCCCTGTGAGCGTCTCCCAAGGACTCGAGTCCTTGTTAGAGTTCTTTGGCTGCATTCCTTAATAGCCTAATGAATTTTGTTATTAATATTATCCTTACAGTTTTGGTAATGCAATATTAAATATTCCAATTTTTAAAAATATTTATTATATATATATATGAGTATATTGCTTGCATGTATGTATGTAAGTGCACCTGTGTCAGGCAGTACCTCCAGAGGTCAGAAGAGGGTGTTGGACTCCCCTGGAACTGGAACGGTTGTTAGCTGCCATCTGGGTCCTGGGAATTGAGCCTGGGTCCTCTGCAAGAATAGCCAGTGCTCTTAACCATCTCTCTAGCCCTGCTTTTTTTTTTTTTTTAATGGAGTTTAATGTCTGTGTCAAACTTTCTCTTCCTATAGATCAGGATTTACATCACACTAGGACCCCACCAATTTTTTACTACTTTGGGTCTTCCCATTCCTTCATCCCACTGGTGTGGATCAGGATACATAGTGTCACCATAGCTTATATATTAATACTCTCCCTGGCTGACCACCCTATCTCCTGCCTGTGCCTCCCTGTTTCAGCCTCTACCATTGTATTATTGTGCCCCCCACTTAGTGGTGGCCATTATGTTCCCCCACCCCATGATCTTGTTCTAATAACTTTACTCTCATGCATGTCCTCTTTGTGGTGACTGCTTTATTTTCTGTGCGTAAAGCCGCAATCAAAATCTCATTCATGTCCTTCGGCTCCATGAACAGTTTCTAGGTAGTGCTATGTGGGCAACCACATGGAAGAATTGAATTAATTACCCTGAAAGACCTTAATCAGCTCTGTTTCCCAATGGCATGTCTTTAAGATAGGACTGAGAAAATTCTGCTAGAAGCCTTGTAAAGTAGCTAAGGGCTATCTATTACTTAGAAGGCATGAAGCCACCACTGGTGATCTTGTATGCATGTAATGCTGTTCTCTGGGTTGTCAAGTTCTTCACCATGCAGACTGTGTCAGCTCAGCCTTGACTTTGCTTGTCCACAGTCAGGTCTGTCTACCTCTATATGTAACCAGCAATACAAAATAAGTTCTTGTCAGAGAAGATAGTATGGGACTCAGCATTGTTACATTTTCCAGATGTGCAGATTTGGGAAATCTGTGCCCCCCCCCCTTAGTGGTAAACATTTAGTGAAAAATATAGACCCACTGTCTGCTTTTACCCAGCTTCTTTAGGCGTTTATTTAAAATATTGTTCTTTAATGTTTTTCGGGGTGATTTGTGAACTTGTTCCTATTTAGTCCTTTTTGACCTACAAAAACATTGACAAGTTAACATGGTTTGCTATATATGGCAGGCATCTTAAGTATTTCCTAGATCAAAATGAAGTCAAATAGAAAATTATTTAATTCATTTATTTGTTCATAAACTTTCATTTGTATTTATCCCTTTAGCTTCTATTTCATGATTATGGGACCTTTTTTTTTAAATAACGGAATCTCACATTGCCTTATCTGGCCTCAAACTTGCTATGTAATTGAGGATGGATGCCCTTGAACTGATTCTTTTGCCTCCATATCCCACATGGTGGGATTATGGGTTTGCCCCATCACACCCAGTTTGTGTGGTGCTGGGACTCAAACCCAGGGCCTCATATGTGCTAGGCAAACACTCTTAACAATTCAGCTATGTCCTTACCCCTAGGATTTAAAAAAAATTTTATTTTATTGTAATTTTAAAACATGAATTCTCAAGTAGCAAGGACCCTGATTTTATTACTTTAGAGGCTACTGGCTCAGAGTGTGGAATATTTTCCACAGTAGCTAGCTGAATAAGGAGCCTTGACTTAGCAAAGCTTTAGAATTTTTTAAATTCAAAATTGTGAAAAATAATAGTACAAACAAATATATGTGGCAAGCATTTAAGAGAATTGACCATTTTCAAGTTTTTCAGAGGTCTATGAAAATTATCTGCAAGGATTCTTTAAAAATTATTGATATCTACGAGGTGACATTTTTAAAGCCTAGTGTTAAGTCACCATAAATATACATATATATATATATATATACTTGAAAAATATTCAAATAGTGCTTCCTTCATTCTAATCCGTAATTCAAACTTTCCTCCATGTTATTCTGACTTTGTGAAGTATTGGTATATATGTATATGTGCTTAGTATTTGACTTCATGTGATAAGGCTGATAATAATCTCTTAATAGAGTAAGCAAAAGTATTTACTTTTTCAACCAAATATATGTAGTTCCTTCTATATTAAATTGAAGTCATGGGTTCTGTGTAATATTGTTTCTCTTGTTTCAGGTATTATGCCATCATGGTAACCATGTTCTTCACAGTTAGTGTGGTAAACAACTATGCCTTGAATCTGAACATTGCCATGCCCCTGCATATGATATTCAGATCAGTAAGTGCTACCAGATCTCATGTGTGTCCTCAGCAATACAGTGAAGCAGGCTGGTTGAACATGTAGCACAAGTAGAAGTCTCATAAAACAGCGAAGCCTAGGGTGTGAGAATAGTTTTTCTTCAGTATGTGTGCAAGGATGGCTTTCATCTACCAAGAAAGGCAAAAAGAAAGATGTATGGCTTACATTTATTTATCTCAGATCTAATGTATGATTAACAAAAAGAATGGAAGTTTCTCTGGGAAACAGATTTTACTTCCATTTTCATCCAATTGATTTTATAGTCGTACTTACCACTGAAGGTCTTCAGTGCCCCTCTCCACCCTCTGTCTTTCAGTGTTTTCCTCTGTAACTCAGGCTGTCTTGGAGTTCTCCATTCCCCTGCCTCAGCCTCCTGAGCACTGGGCATGTCCCATCATGCCCAGCAGGACAATTCTTTTTTATATATGTTTTATTTATTATTATTATTATTATATATTCTTATATAGTCTCTTTATTTATTATGTGTATGAGTGTATTGCCTGCTTATCTGTGAGTGCACCTGTTTGTGCAGTGCCCACAGAGGTCAGAAGAGAGCATCAGATCCCCTGGAACTGGAGCTATGGATGGTTGTTAGCCACCCTGTAGGTGCTAGGAACTGACACTTGGTCCTTTGCAAAAGCAGCCAGTGCTCTTAAGCTCTTAGCCATCTCCAGCTCCCCCAGCAGGACAATTGTTGATGAAGGGGATTTCCTCTCAATGTGATATGGCTTTCTTCATTATGTCATATATGGTGGGATCGCTGTGTATCTGGTTTATAAGAAAGAAAGAGTGTTCCCAGAAGATTAGGGAAAACTTTATGGGGTGTAGGTGAAGATGCAGCAGAGTATACACTGAGCAGTGCCTGGAGCGACAGCATCTCCATGTTGCCTGAGATTCTTGTGAGATTGAATGTGCTCTTTTTGTCTAAGATAATTGTAATCACTGAGCTGACCTTCCAAGCATTGGACACATAGCACTTTCAATAAACACTTGATTGATTGACTCCTTTCTAGAGAAGAGAGAGATCCCTCCCTGCATGACTTCTTTCATTAAAACTGGAGGTGGGGGAAAGAAAAGCATATTAAATTAGTATTCTAAATTAGACAGATGGAAAAATTGAAGAAAAATAGGTCTAAGGTATCATTTTGCTCTATTAGCCATAGCTTTAACTATCACCAGTTATTGATAATTTTTATCCCCATTGTATCTTGAAATGATTCTATTATTGCAAATGACAGATTTGCACGGTCTCTCCTCTTTGCCATAGTAAGTGTTCATCTTCACCTTCATCTGATGTTCTCCCATTGTCTGTGCTCCTGTTCTTCTTGAACTATTGTTTTCTTTCCTTAGGGCACTAAACTGTTACCGGTCTTCTTTTACAGGGTTCTCTAATTGCCAACATGATTCTAGGAATTATCATTCTGAAGAAAAGGTAATGAGTACACCTTCCTATTTTCTGTGTGGAAATGATATTCTGAGCCGCAGTCTGTGGACTAGTCTCCAGGATTCCTTTTCCGACAGTGGAGAAAGGACTGCTCTCAGCTCTTGTCCTAGTTTGCTTTTCTGTTACTGTGATAAAACACTGACCAAAAGCAGGGCAAGAAGGATTATTTCAGCTTACAACTCCCAGGTTACAGTCCATCACAGAGGGAAATTCAGAAAGGAGCTCAAAGCAGGAATCTGGGGGCAGGGACCGAAGTAGAGAGCACAGAGGAATGCTGCTTCCTCTGGCTTGTTCAGCTGTCTCTTGTACAGCCCAGGCCCACCTGCCTAGGGATGGCACCGCCCACAGTGGGCTAGACCTTCCCACATCAACTAGCAGTTAAGAAAATGCCTCATAGATAAGCCACAAACCAGTCTGGTCTTGGAAATTCTTCAGTGGTGGTTCCTTCTTCCCAGATTACTTCAGTTTTTGTGAAGTTGAGTAAAACTAGCCCGAACAGCTATCTACCTTTTTCTTAGTTCCTTCACTAAGAACTATGCATTATAATGAGCTTCCCTGAGGCAGCTAACCACTTCAGAGGCTCTACCTTTGACTTCCTGTGGCTCTCTAATCACTGAATCTTTGGTGCCTTGTTAACCTGTGAAATCAGTTGATACAGAATTTCACTGTGCAATATTGTCACTACTAGCCACCTGTGACTGTTTATATGGGAACCATTTTTTAAGTGAAATAAAATGAAGTAGTTTCTCACTTTTACTAATCACATTTTAAAGGCTCAGTAGTAACAAGTGGGAAGTGGTGATCATATGGGAGAATGTAGATAAGGAACATTTCCAGTGGTGCAGAAGTTCTGTGAGACAGAGCTGTCCTAGGTTAGAAGATGCTTTTGTTTGTTTGTTTGCTGTTTGTTATTGGCACTGCTAGAGGTTGAACTCAGGCCTCACACAAACTGGGCAAGCACTCTTATCACTAAGCTCCATCTTCAGCACCCTTCTTCAGCACTACATCTTCAGAAGCTGCTTATCAATGTAATATAATAAACTAGGGAATAATCATACATGTTAAGAAAATTCCTAGTGAAGGCCTAAGTAGACAGGACAAAGGAACAGAAGGCTCAGGATTATCCTTTGTAACTGCCACTAGTGCTATGGGGACAGGGGTAGAAACTGTCAGAATTTCCCAGGGATGCTTTGTCAAAGAATCTGCTTCACTTGAACCTCACCCCTCACTGCCATAGAGAAAGGGACATTGGGGAGAGACAGCCAGAGTCTGGAAGATTCTCAGGGGAAGGTCACCTTCACTGCTAAGACTAAAATCATACAGGTTATGCCAAATTTTCAATATGTTTAGTATCTACTCTCTGTATTAGAATTCTTTAGCTTTGAAAAGCAGCTATCAATTCAGACAGGGAACCTATAGTTGTTTGTTGTTTGTTTGTTTGTTTGTTGAGACAGGGTCTCACTATGTAGCGCTGGCTGGCCTGGAACTGTCTATGTAGACCAGGCTGGCCTTGAACTCACAGGCCTCTGCTAGGAATAAAGGTGTGCCACCACATCTGCCTCTGGGCAGAACCTAGAATTTTTAAGTTAAGGGTTGTATCATAACAAAGACGATTGTCTTGTGCTAATAGGCTTGGTTTCTTGTTTCCTTTGTCTTCCCAGGCTATGGTTTTCCCGGATAAGTACCATTCTAGCTGATTCTTTCTTCCCAGTCATCTGCCTTTAAGCATAGATAGTGAATGATCAGATTTTTTGTTTAAGATGAAGACTGTACTTATTGATAGCTAGATCACCTTAGGATAGACCTGTGTTCCTTTCTAAACTTTGATTTGGTTCATAATAGGTTACATACTATATAAAGGGGCTAGAAAGATGGCTCAGCGGTTAAGAGCACTGGCTGCTCTTGGAGAGGGCCTGGGTTTGATTCCCAGCACCCACATGGCGGATAACAACCATCTGTAACTCCAGTTCCAGGATAATCCAACACCTTCTTCTGACCTTCACAGGCATTGCACAACACGGGTACATTTACATACATGTAGGCAATACACTCATGTGCATAAAATAATAAATGAAATATTAACAAAAAGAATATATAAAAAGAATTAGAGTCTCCTGATACTGCCTCAGACTGTCAGGGCTTTTCTCAAACATCTCAGTTTCCCTTCAGAGTTTGCTTACAATCTGTCATCTTGAGTTTGAGCCTTTTGACCATCATTTTTGTTTCACCCATAGAGCAGGAATTTCTCTAACTTAACTTTACTCATTCATATTCTGACTCTCTCTCTCTCTCTCTCTCTCTCTCTCTCTCTCTCTCTCTCTCCAGCTGATGCAGGCTGGTTGGTGGAAAGGGAAGGGGGGGGTCAAACCCAGGGCCTTGCCCATGCTAAGACAGTGCTCTACCTTTGAGCCCCACTGAATCCATAATGTTCACTTCATTCCAGAATTTAAGACCCCCCATCTATATTTTCTTTAACCATTATTTTTGGCTTGAGCTTCAAACTTCTTCAGCTTAATCTTTCTATACTGAACTTTTGATATACTTTAAGGTTTTTATTAGCATATATTAACTATATACAGTAATTAATGGATTTCATTATCTTTTCATACATGTATATGATGCGTTTTGATCATGTTCACCCCTCCATCCCTTTCTTGTCCCACTGAGCCCCTTCTCCTTCCCCACCAGTCTCCTTCCACTCCAGTAGTACCTGCTTCCTTGCCTGCTTCCCAGCATGGCCCTCTCAGCCATCTCCCCTCCCCTTCTTAGCTAGCTAGATCAGCCTTTGGTGAGCTATTGTGACCAAATGATACAATATGCTTGGGTAGGAAAAAAAAAAAGATGGTTCATTCTATAAGTTTAATTTCTTTTAATCCTTCCCTGGGGCCTTTTCCTTGATTACCAAGAATCTGAGCAGATAGTAATGATACTGTTTTAGTTCATGTGAAATGTCACTGTTAATTGCTGCCCACAGTTCTTCAAATTGGATATGCCTCCCTTTATCCAACTGTACAAACATTTACAAATAGCTACCCAGATAATTTTTAGAGAACTACTTCCCCCGCAGAATAGACGTTGTTTTCTGAGCGTCAACTCTCCTTTTTGTACTTGATAATCTGCTGTTCATCTTGAATAGTATGTGTTATGACCCAACTCTGGGCTGGGGGCGGTGGCACATGCCTTTGATCCCAGCACTCTAAAGGCAGGCAGATCTCTGTGAGTTTGAGGCCAGGGTGGTCTACATATTCCAGGCAAATCTCTGTGAGTTCCAGGCCAGCTGGGGCTACAGGGAGACTCTGTCTCAAAAAGACCAAAAAATAAATAAAAATGACTCAACTCTGGACCTCTGAAGACTGGAAAAGCTACAGATTCTGTTGAAGACTGCAGGCTTGCCTTTGGCTTCTGGAGAACTGAATGCAGTGTCATGTCTGGTGTGCATCTGTGCTTCTGTTTTTTGTGTTTTCTGATGAAACCATCCACTGGTCAACAAACGTGGAGACAACTGCTGGAGAGTCGTCATTCCCCTGCCCTCCAGTGGTATTGTAGTGTTTTGTACTTGAATATATTATCTGACTGTAAATATTAGAAAGTGTGTATTTGTTTTTATAAGGTGTTTTTGTCCTTATTTTTCAGATATAGTATATTCAAATATACCTCCATTGCCCTGGTGTCTGCAGGGATATTTATTTGCACTTTCATGTCAGCAAAGCAAGTGGTAAGAATCAGCTCATAAATCATTTGTATTCACTACTCATCTTGAGGGCCTCATTGCTAGGCACGTATTAAAAATGTAATGAATTAAAAAGCTTGTGTAATACAAGGATTCAAATCTCTGAAAGCGAAGGGTGGAGGGAAATGGAGAGCATACATATTTCCATGTATCTCAGTGTGCTGTTTGTAGTTCTGGTCTCCAGCTCTGAACCTAGTATATTTTCTTATTTCCTAGACTTCCCAGTCCAGCCTGAGTGAGAATGATGGATTCCAAGCATTTGCATGGTGGTTACTAGGCGAGTACAGTAATTATAATGCAGCTAATTGCCTCTGCTCTTGTATTTGTTGAGTTTTCTCCTGTGGGACATGTTTCTTGACAAGAAGCTTCAGCTAAACAGATTATGCCGAGGAGGAGAGGGGAATCTGGGATCGTGTGAGTCTGAACCATAGTGTTCAAAAATGAAGAGGCCAATGTTGACGTTCAGAGCAGTGTGTTCTACAAGGTGGAACCATGTTTCTCTTCATTGCCACTGGCATAGAGAGAAAAGTCCATCACACTCTTGAGGAGTACTGCAAAGAGAGTCATCACTCCTCTTAGCCTGTCTGCTGAGTAGAAACATCTGCAAGGGCAGGTTAGAACCCCAACTCCAAATTTCCAAGGGACATATTTCTAAATCTTAGGCTTATTTTCTTCATAAGTTAACTGCTCCATATGGCAGTGTTCCCATATTACTTCTCTTGTGAATTTTTAAAAATGCAAGTATCTCTTTGTGGAATTAATTAGACAACTCCTGTAGAGTCTTGTCTTCACACTGATTTAGAGGGGAAACTCCAGGGGTTTTCCGTATTGACAAGAGCAGATTAAAACTGGCCAAGAAGAGAAGTAGCAGCAAAAGAAGTGTGCCCTCCTATCTCTTGGCTTTGAACTTGAACCCTTTAGGCTGCTGTTCTTCACATAGGAAGATCTCTCTGCACTATTAGGGAAATAATTTACCCAATGAGAAAATTTGCAAAGGATATGAATATACAGTTCATAGGGAAAAATTAACGTCCAGTGATTTTATATCCTCAATCTAGTAATCAAAGACATGCCAATTGAAACCAACTACAATACCTTTTTATTTTTGACTTGTCATATTGGCAAGAGGATAAATGATACCCTCACTGCTGCGAGGGTGCAATAAAACAGCTGTTTTCATGTGAACTGTTGGCAGTGAGAATTGACAGCCTTTCTAGAAACATATTGTGTATTGAGTTTTTTTAATGTCATAAAGGTTTTTTAACTTTTGACTTAGTAGTTCTGTTTATGAAAGTTTATCCTAAGGGAGTAATCAACATTTTGTTTAAATATCTGTATACTTTGATTTCAGTGAAATAATTGGAAATGTTCTCATTATAAGACATTTAAGTATGGTGCAACCATGTGATTGGATAATGCAGATATTGTCACACTTTGAAAATACATTTAGTAAAAGATTTGAAGGGTAAGTCCAGAAGAATATTGTGAGAAAAGCAAGATGTAAAAATGTACGTATAATCCTGTTGTGTCTTAGGACATAAACGTATGTATACATACATAGGAGGAAATAGGAAACTAGAGAGGATTAGATGATAACATTGTGGTAGATTCTTATTATTAAAATGTGTACCCATTCTGTAGGTAATGATACTTAGAGAACTGTAAATAAATGTTACTTTAAGAAAATACCAGAAATCAAGAAATTAAGAAATGCAGGCATCTTGTAATTGTTCTGATCACTGTTTTTTTAGGTATCGGGGCACTGACTTTTGCTCTGTTGATGTCAGCAAGGATGGGTATATTCCAAGAGACGCTATACAAACAGTTTGGGAAACATTCCAAGGAGGCATTATTCTATAATGTAAGCAGCTCCTTGGGTCTCTGTTTGTACTGTGCTATTCCAAATGAAATTTTAATGTAGTTGAAGGGTCTGTTTATTATTAGTAACCAGCTTTTAGACCAATACGCTGAAGTACTTTTGACAGGGTAATAATGTGCATTTTGGGCAACAGTTTTCTACACAAGATGATCATGATCAACCAAATAAAACATTTTACCCAGAGGCAATTCTATGGGACAGGAATCATGGCCCACAACTTCCTATACATGAAATTGTTAAAACCAGTATGGAAACCTAGAAAGGGAAAATAAGTTCTCAGAACAGTAGGTCAAGAGGAATGTGTGTATCTGTGGGATAGGTTGGGGGCATATGGGTCCCCCCAAAGGGCTTTATTCCCATGGTAGTTCAGTTAACCATATGTACTTGGGCTTGTTTTAAGCTGGTGAACCCCCCCCCCCGCCCAATCTTGCCTCCCTCTTCTCCAGAGCTGTGTCCCTCAAGGTCAGGGTGAGACAGTTACTTCTGTGCACAGTTAACCTGAACAGGCAATTTCGTTTAGAGAGAGTTCGTGGCTGGGAGGTTTTAGCAATTAAGCTTTGTATTTGGTCTGTTTCTTTCGCTGAGAACAATGCCAAGCACAGTGACCGTTAAGGATCTTACTATCTGTGGTGTTGTTGGGCGTCTTAACCTTGCCTTACCCAGCTTGTCGTCTTCTCATTCTTTCCCCCCAGCTTTTAAATTCTCTGAAATCTGATTCCTTAACACTTTTAACTCTAGTAAGTAACACATCCTTTTGGGCGGAATGAATATGTTTAAGTTTCCCCTTTCCCCTGTGTTGAGGGAAGGATGCTGGCTCCTGTGCTTGACTTGGCCTTGATGGCCATCAGACTCTGTAGGGTCAAGTAGATATCATGCCATACAATGTCAAGTGGACAGAGACACTAGATACAGTTGACTTAGTTAAGACTAACACTGTTTATCACACAACTTTAATCACTGTAAAGCTACTCTATTACTCTGTAATATTTGTGCATTTACCTTCATGTGATCCATCTTTTCCCACAGCACGCTCTTCCACTGCCTGGCTTCATCTTCTTGGCCTCTGATATTTATGACCACGCAGTTTTGTTCAATAAGTCTGGTGAGTGTGGGGTTATATGTCAGTATTATCTGCCACTGTCTGAGGCAAAGCCTCAGTTTTACATTTGACTTGACTGCAGCTTTATTTTAGGTCCTTATCTGGTGTTCTGTCCCTTCACAACTGTCCACCTTGCTCCTTCCAGTATACAAAAGGGCTGCTAATCTAGTTGCAGCAGCAAGAGCGTTTATAGGCACTTTTCTATTACTTGCAAACAAGAATATCCTTAGTTTCTACTTTCTTTGGAATTGTGGGTTTACAGTTGAATGTGGAATGTTAAATGTTTTGAGAATGCAAACACATTAACACCAGCCCTCAACAGAGATTGGAGCCTGCAAAGCTGGGTGGCAGCCCAGCTGTCTCCTGAAAGGTAGAGCTGCTACAGATCTGAGCTACCTTGGCACCAAGTAAGATGGGAGCAAAATGCTAACAGGGCTTGTTTCCTAGCTACAGATTAAATAGGCCACAAGAACAAGAATTAGTTAGAAATGTCTGTAGTAAAACTTAGCTGTTACTTTTTAAAGTGACTGTTGGGTAAACTAACTGTAGATGGTCAGTCAACTTGAAAGAAATCTCCTACATAATCTGATTATCTACTAAGGGAGTGTTATGGGAATAAATGAACATACAAGAAAAATAATTTTTAAATCAAAGTTTTATGTTACACATACTCTAGAGGTAAATGTATTCTGTCCCATGTTAGCCCTACTTTGCATGTGCAGGGTCATATCTGTCATTTGGCCTAAAAAATGTGTTATAAAAAGGTAGGTAGTATGTAAGAATGTTTGGGGGCTCTGAATTGTTTGGAGAATCATTTCTGATTATTAGTGCCATAGTTGTGAAGCTCCCTGAATGTTCCTACAGAGCAGTGACTCATGGTACTATAGACTGGAATCAAAACAAGTACAGGGATATATGGCCAATGTCTTTTATGAGGGAAATAGTACTGCTGTTTCTATTACTGTTACCTTTGCCTGCATTACCTTGTTCAAAAGTTTTAACTATCCAATCGTGGCATGATGGCATCCTCTCTTCACCTCTGCAGAACTCTATCAAGTTCCAGTCATCGGTGTGATTATGCCTGTCATGTGGTTCTACCTCCTCATGAACATTGTCACTCAGTATCCTTTGGACTCTTCTGTCCTATTTGTGCCTTCTCCATGGTGTTTGGTAGAAAAATGTTTATTTTCCTAACCATGTGGGATATGAGTTTTTTGCCTTAATTTCTTCTGTGGTAAGCTGGAAACAGATTCATTTATCTATTGATGTTAGTGGTGCAGAAGGTCAAGGTCAGTAACCATGTGGGAATGGAGGAAATACTCCGGGTGAAATCAGAGGACTCCATGGATTGTTAAAAACTGGTGTTGGTCATGAGACGTGAAAGATCTGAGATTTCCATCTGGGGTTTCCTGGTATTCTAGGGTATTGATAACCATCACAAGTTGACACAAAATTCTGAAACAAGCTTCAAATTAAGGCCAATTTTTAAAAAGTTATATTAATAGAATGACCTTACCTTCATTACAAAAGTTGTGGAATTTTTGAAATAGTGAAACAGATTGAGATTAACTGCCTTCCTCTGAAGTTACCTCATATCTACCATACAGAGTTCCATTTTGGAGAAGAGAGTAGAGGGCCTGAGTCAAGACAAAATAAAAGTGGCTGGGACCACCGTTCCCGAGAATGTCACCCTCTGTCACTATCTTGGCAATGACCTTCACTGTAAACTCTGATGAAAATCCACAATAATGGTTTTTAGGAAGGTGGGGCAGGAATTCTGCAGGAAGTTCTGCTGAGGAGAAGCTTCAAAGCAGCCATAGCAGACCCTCAAGTTTTCTTAGAATGTGGATGCTTAAGCCAGGAATCATGCCTAATGCTCTCTCCCAAGTACAAGAATGACCTTAACTCTCCTCCAGGTACGTGTGCATTAGGGGGGTGTTTATCCTCACAACAGAGTGTACCTCCCTCACTGTCACACTGGTTGTGACTCTTCGCAAGTTTGTGAGCCTCATCTTTTCTATCTTGTACTTCCAGAACCCTTTCACTCTGTGGCACTGGCTGGGTACTGTGTTTGTCTTCATTGGGACCTTAATGTACACAGAGGTGTGGAACAACCTAGGGACCACAAAAAGTCAGCCTAAGAAGGACGACAAGCAGGACTGAGGTCTTCCTGAAAGACAGGCCAGTGCTGTGGGCAGGAGGCCTCTGGCGCAGGTCTGAGCATCATTTCACTTTGGCTGATGCTGAACCTAACAGGCTCCAGAGAATCTGCTGAAGGGCAAGACTTATCCAGTCTTTCATGTCTATCCTGACAATATTTGTAGACTCTGAATAGATATCCCTCAACCCTGAAAAGGAAAGAAAAAAAAAAAGCTCCTACTCCTGTACTATTGAATAGCCTCTGCATTTGCTTTTCTGTTTGATTTGCTGGAACATTTTATGTCTGTGGGGTCTTAGATGAGGCCATGTTTTGTTGCCACAACAGCCATTACCCTCCTGGGACAATGTACTTTCCCCACTCCTGTCACCCCTCTACACCTCAGCAGCACTTTGCAGTCTATCAAATATCCCAGGCACCATCAGCCACTGAACAACCCAAGGGCCAAGTGAACAAAAAGACCCCAGGAACAATGAGGTGAGGCTCCCTCCAGCACAATGGGAAAGAAGCAGTTGTTCCCATGAGCAGAGCTTTGGTGATGGGTGAGCTGAATGCTGGTGATGCTGGAGTGCACTGGTGGTGGATCCCCATTTCCCACACTTTGCTTTTTTTTTTTTAACCCAATTCAAGAGTCAGATGCTTTTCTTACCTGTTGCTTTCTGTTCTTAGAGCAATCCTGCAGCTCCCAAGGCACATTAGTAAGAAGCAAGTATTGTCAGTGGATTTGGGAAAGAGGCAGACTTTTCCATCCATCTCACATGTGAAGCCCATTAGCCTGTTACTGAGATGGGGATGGAAGTGTGGCCGTGTGCTGGCACCCTGCTTAGCACTGAGAGATAGCTTCCCCTGTGAACCCAGCCATGGATCTCAGCTGTGTGGGGATGTCTGTGAAAGGCTTTAAGGCTTTGTAATCAAGAGATGCCTCTGCCTGGCGCTCAGAGTCGCCAGCAGTCAGGTGATAACAGACTAAGATATGTAGGTGTGTGATATATAAATCAGGTCAAATCCCAGCTACCATGGAAAGTTACTCTTGTTTTCCTGTAAGGTATCTTATGTTCTTGATGGGTATAGGTAGGAGGTTTGTGGGTATAGGTATGTGCTTTGGTACATATAGAAACATTCCTGTCTTCTGTTAATCATCTCAATGGACTGGTTTTCCTCATGTGGGATAATGTTGATAAAGAGGAGCCCTGTCAGATAGCACAGCTTATGTGTGACTGAACAGCACTGAAATCTGTTGATTTCCTCTTTCTTCCCTTAGTCCCAGAGCCTCATTACCCTCACCCAGCTACTTCCTCTACAAGTAGCTAACCCTACTCTTTCTGTCTGCACAGAGACAAAGGCCTTTCATTTTTTATGTGCAGACCGTGTTCTTAAATTGAGATGTGGCTCCCCGTGTCTCTTGGCTCACTCCTAGCTATTTACCCTACTGTCTAGAGATACTCTCTGACCAATCTGAACAACACTTGTAAAGAAAAGTATCCTAACCACTGGGTCCCTTGGGAAAGCAGTTAAAACTGCCTTGCTTTTCTGTTACATAAAATGTAAGTACTGTTTCTCTACCTAAGTCCCTGGATTTGCAGACTGATTTGTCTTTTGGATGTTGACAGCTTCCTAGTCCTGGTAATGGTCTATTCTCAAAGATTCTGAATTAGATGTGACCCCATTCATAGGCCCAAAAGCTACTTGCATGAAATATATGGAGTTTCTTGGACTAATGGTGCTATAAATACCAAGTGTTAAATGTCCCCTTAAAAAGGAAAATAACAAAAAATACTTTTTGTCTTCCTGTTTAAGAATCTGTCCCTAGAGGCTTTTTGACTGCTATGTTCTGATAACTCCTAGTAGACTATAACCTTGAGTAACATAATACTACCTTTTTATGATGATGGGAAAGACTGTAATTTAGAGTTATTTGAGACCGATTGATACACACAGACAGGATTTAACTGGATCCATTGGATTTTAGATTATGGTTTCAGAGTATGTATGTATACTGTTGGCAGTCTTTTTAAAGGAAATGTAGGGACCTAAGAAGTCAGAGCACACATACAGCAGAATGAGCCCCTGCAGGGACAGAGTGCCTGGGGAGCCCGTGAGTTTGTTTCTCTCTCTGTAGTTGGATAGATGGAAATATATCTAATAGACACTAGCTAAAACTTTTTAAAAATCACTTTTCTGAAATTTTTGTTGTAATTTTCTTTGTGTATACTCCCTGGGCATGGTACTGTGTTACACAATGACTTTTTCATACAAGTATGAACTGTATGTTGAGCACATCCCCACATTCCCCTCCACCATCACCTTGCCCCCACACCTGCTAGTCCCCTTTGCTCCCCTAGAGTTTGGCTTCTGTTTCATACACTATATACATATGTGATTTTATGTGTCTATATCAGATCTAAGAACTACAAATAAGAGAGAACATAGGGTATTTGTCTTTCTGAGACTAGCTTCATTCACTATGAATGAATAGTGAATTAATATTCACTACTAATATGATTACTTTCAGTTATATCCATAAAATTAATCTTTAAAAAAGTTATTCGTCTTGGCTAACTTTTTTTTTCCATTCAGATCAAAAAGATTTTAAAAGGGAAAATGCGTCATTTTATAGATCAGACTCATGCCTGATTTTTGTAAAGAGATGTCTGTAAACACCTTTCTTCTTTCTCTGGGTCAGGACTAGAATTCTGTGCTTCAGAGACAGAACATATAGTTTGTTCTATTTATAGAGTTTAAGACATAAAAAATACCTTTAGACCAAGAGTCAAATAGCAAAGGACTCTAGCCAGAAGATGTGGTGTGTATATGTGAGCCCACATTAACTGCTGGATGTGTTAGGTGAGGTAAGAGGAGAGGTCGGTGGGTGCTGAATTATGTTTAATATCTGCACCCCTGTTACTAACATCCTTTTGTTATGCTATAAAGAATCACTATCTCTTTTATCCGAAATGTATTTTTGATTTTTCAGTTGTTTTCTTGCATTGCTGAGGATGAAACCCAGGGCCTCGTACATATTTTGGATTTTTTTTTTTGATTTAACTAAAACCACCAGAAATATACTAGATGAGTTTACAGTCAAGTAGCTGTGGGTTTTGTTTCTTTTTCCTTCTTCCCGACCAATTGTCCAAAGCGCAATGCTGCTTTCTCTACTTTGCTCAGTGCTAGAAGCAGAAGGAGACCACGCATGAGTTGGTCTGTGGCCCAGCCCTTTCTGTTCTGGGAGGGGACATGAGGGTTTAAGGGCTCTGGCAGACACTGCTGTTTCCACGCACCTCATCCTCTCTGCGGTGTTTTTGTTTTGGCTTTCCCACTTCGTGACTGGACCTCCAGGTTCTCCACTTCCCCGCAGCCCCCTTTCACCCATGTTCCCACTGAGCAATACCTGTTATCGCTGCTTATGCTTCTGTTCTTTGGGGCCTCTTGCTACTTTTTAGGAGTTTTATAGGGTGTGATATCTGCACAGCATCAATTTTATGTTCCTATAAGCACTGCTGTTGAGTGTGCTGTGGATGGGCAGCATTTGCTGAACACGCACGGGCGTGTGTGTGAGTGTGGAAGGAGAGAGCTGCATATTTTTTTCCAGCTCTGCCTGGGGGCTGAAGCTGTTTGCCACTGTTCCCTTCTTACTTGGTTTTTTTAGCCTAGGGAAAGGGAGGGAAATATAAAAGGTCAGTAATAAATCAAAATCCACGAATTAGCCTTGGGTGGTAGGCATGACCTTCAGTGGACCAGTTAGCTCTACATGAGCAGGTACACAGAAGTGCATGAAGAAAAACCCCATTTAGAGATTTGAAATCAAGATCTTCTCTTTGGTGGGGAGAAAACAGAATTATGAGGAACTCTGCTCCTGTGAAATAACCAAAACATTTTGGGCTCAGTAGCTTTCTGCTGAAAAAATGTGACTGAATCTTGTCTGTGGCAGTTCATGCCCACACTGAACTGCCAATCTAGATGAAATCCATTTGTTACTACTGTTGATTGGTATGATATTTGAAAATAAGTATAAACAATATTTATTAAATTTGAACTAGTCATAAACCTTGGAACATGTTTTGACCAGACTGGCCCCTCTCAGCTCTTTAGTATCTTTTCTCTTTCCAGAAGTTTCCTTACTGTAGACATTCCAGGAATAGGAGGGACCAGGAGTAATTCAGTTTTGCACTGCCAGCCCCTGGCATAGTGTCTGTGTTACATGATGAAATGAATTTTGTTTGCAGGGTCTTTTCCACCCTCTTTGCAGCTGTTCCCACCTCTCATTAGCTGGTTGGTAGGAAAGCTGGTACCAAGCAGGAGAAGGATTGGGAAATTATTGGGAGACGATGGAGAAGGCCACCCAGCTTTCGCTGTCTGCATTGCCTGGTGGTTGTGCATCTGTTACTTTGTACATTTGATGCTCAGGAAGAAAGTGTAAGGAATTGCCAATCAGAGCGTTAAACATTCCTAAGGGGTTTTGAAGTGGCTGCCGGGTGACCTGGCTCACCTCCCATCTCATAGCCAGTGCAGCCGGTGTTACTGACTGCTGCCTGGAGAGTTGTGTCTGTTTGTCTACTCTTGGTATCTCAGACGTCTTTTCCCTGAGCTTTGCCTATGGAAATCACCTGTAAGAAGCAAACAACAAGTGAGCTAGAGGGAGAAAAAGAAACCTGGTCTACATTTGAACAAATAAGGCCGTATTTAATGACTCCTTTGGTAGACTATCTGCAATCCTTTTGAGGTGGAAGACTCGTAAAGCAAAGTGGTAGGCAACACAAAGATGTCTTTGTGCATCACTTACAACTGCAAGCAGTTTCCTTCCAGAGACTGGCCTCAGCCTCCAAAAAAAGATGATTTGAAAAGTAACCGATTATGGTGGTGAAGATTTTATTTATTCAGCCTCTGAGTGCATCATTGAGTATTACATTTTAAGAACACAGATCAGAGGAGGGAGGCCCTGATGGGGCCGCATATGTAGAACAGCCAGGAGACGTTAGTGAGTATTCAGACTTTGAACTGTGCAAATATCAGACATCAGCTTCCAGCCTTATGAATTATTTGAGCAGAATTAAGAAGGAAAGGGGATTCTTTGAATAAAATGTTTTGCCAAACTGAATGAATCATTTTACCATCATTTCTTATAAAGAGCCATTTTTTACCTCTGAAACAGCTGATCAGACATCTGGTTTTTATCTTGGATTCACAGTCATTGTTTCTTAATAAAAGTGATAAATGTCCTGTGCAGGTACTTGCAATCACCATTATGTTTCAAGGGCTCGTGTGTGGTTTCAAAAGCTCTCCAATTTTTACCTTATCTGTGGTGGTGGAACATTTTACTATGAACCATCGTCAGCTGCCTGTCTTCCTGATGCCTCATGGCTGGATCTGTAAGAGGCCACTTCTTGGGCTACTGACCTGTTTCTGCTTCACAGATTTAAATCAGATCAGTCTGCCTTTGGAAGTTCTAGAGGTGTATGGCAGTGTCTGCCATAAACCTGTCCCACTCACTTTGCTTTAATAGAAATACATTGACTTGTATAATGCCACAGTAGCCAGCTCCCTTTCTCTATTGAGTATGTTACTTTGACATAAATCTTAATGTACAAGCCACGCCGGTATGCTGCAAGTGGTTTGCCACTCAGTCAACTGGGAATCATAGACAGCAGCCCTCATGCACAGAACAAGAAGAGAAAACAAGTGAAAGGCGGTGCACGAAATGAACACTGGTAAAAGTCCCCTCTTTAAAAAGTGTGACATGTTTTCGTCAGACAAGGCTGGTTGTTCTGCAACAGCATGGAGCCTGCAGGTCAGGCTGGGATGGCCAGTCTGAAGCCCTGCATGCTGAAGTTACACAGGCATAGGGGCTTGATGAACTAAAAAATGTTCTGAACTGTGATAGGTAAAAGTTTTGGGGTGGAGAGCGAGCGAATGGAGGATGAGGCACCGAGGCACAGATAGAACTCCCAGAGGGATACAGCTTTATTTCACATGGGACACGTTTCCCTTGGGGAAGGGAAAGATGTCAGCCCATGGGTTTTGAGCTGGGACTTATATATGGGGGCTTCAGGGTGCAGAAGCGGGGGAAGTTTTGGGGAAAAATCAAGAAGGGGGAAGCAGGAAAAGCTGGGCTTGTAAACCTGGCTCCATTCAGTCTGCCAGGCAGGATCTGGGTCTGGAAGTGTTTACTGTTTTCCTCTTAAGATAAGGGAAAAGCTGCTTCTAAAATCTCTGGTTAACTGGTAGAATCTTCTTATCTTGTCTTTGGAGGTCAGAGGAAAGGCAGGCTGCTTCCCAGCAGAGTTTGTTTCCCTTGACTTCAAAGGCCAAGGTGCTTATCAGCTCAGTTCCCTTTTTCGGGCTCCAAAAGTCCATAGGTCCCTGTTGGGGAGGGGGGAAGCTGCTGCTGTTTGGAACCCTAATAAACTGTAAGCCTGAAAAAAGGTCAAGAAACTCTTGAGACGCTCACTGGTGGTTTGGTTCAACTCTTGAGCAACTTGTCTGCTCAGTGTGAGCAGAGCATGCTTCTCCACAGCACTGTGATTCTGATACCAGCAGCAAAACATTTGCATTTAACATAGATCTCTGCTCAAGATATCCCTTGATAAGAGCTGTAACACTTAGGTGGGTATGACAAGGATCCCGTTTCTTTGTCCCCCTTACATTAAGCATTCAGTTACCTATCAAAAAGTAAGTCATTGAATTGTGTATTAATGTCAAAAATTCTATGAGGAAAAACAAGCACATCTGCTCATGCAAGTATTTGTTAGTAGCCAAAGCTTTTCAGAGATGCTCTTTATCTGCTAATTAACACAGTCATCCCATCATGAAAACGAAGTTATATTAATGTCTGTTTCTTAATCAGCACTTCAAAGATCTAGCATATGGCTCCATTATTACACACAACTCCATGAAGCACAAATGCATTCTGACACAAAGGAAGCTTATTATTATAATTACTGGGATTTATTATTATAGCTTTGCTTGGAGTTTATTGCATGAACACACACCTTTCATGAAGGCCACACACATCTGCATGGGTTTCCCAGAATCTGTAACGCTGTTAAAATGTTAACATTTCACTTATATTATTTAACCCTCAAAAAACCAGTATAAGGGAATTAGCCTTGTTTTGTAAATAAGGAGACAGTGGTACAGAAGAGCTACTACTTGCTCATGTGTGGGAGCTGGGATTCGAGCCCTTAGAAACTCGATTCCAGAGTCTTCAGCCACTGCACTTTGCGGCCTCTAAAACCCGAGGGAGAAGACAGCTGTCTTGCTTTACTCTTTAGGTCTCCATGTGCTAAATGTCATAAAAAAATCTTGGCTCTGTGTTCTTAGCACATTAATGGTGAATTCATATTATTTCCTCTCATCTAGTCTCCAGTATAAGCAAGAAGAAAATAAAAACACAGAAAGTTGGGCACAAAACAGGACTGATTCTTAAATGTCTACACCAGAACACACCCATTTTTCCTGGCACTCGAAGCATGTGACTTTAAAATTAATCAACAATATTAAATAAATATATAGTAGAGCAACAGCTAATTAAATCATAAAACCTTTACCAATGATTTGCTTACATAGTTGTAATTTATAGGTTGTTTAATGTATGTGTTATCAATTTCTCCCAAGTTCTGTCCCAAAAAGTGTTTATCTACCTGGATAAATATCATACTGGAATCATACTTTGATAACAAATCATCCATTCAGCCATTACACGAGGCTCATTACCAGAGTTTTCAGTTTCTGTGATTCAGTAGGCACTGATGAAGTTTAATGCATTATCCATTCCCACTAGGTTGCCTCACGTCCTCCCTTTAGACAAGAATCATTGTTAGAGTATTGCTCAATCTTCGTTCTAGAAAACATTTGACTCTGCAGATGTGTTTGCATATGCAATTTTGTCAGGAAATGAAAACTATCATCCCTCTTATATAAATTTCATCAGGATTATGTTAAACTGCAATGTAATAGGAACCCAAGCTTTAGTCACTTAACCCAATAGTTTATTCTTCAGAGGAGATGGGCAAACTGGGGCTGGTGCAGTCACTCCAGAAAGCTGTCAAGGAAGTAAGCTGCTATAAAATGGCACATCTGCAGAAAGCCACGTGTGTGTGCTACAAGTGCCGAGCAGCCAGATGGCTTCCACATCTCAGGAGTGCCTGCCTTTCTTTCTTTCCTCTTGCTCTGATAAACTATCCTGATAAAAGCAAGGGTTTATCTTGGCTCACAATACCATGTTACAGTCCAGTCCAGAAGTCACAGCAGCAGAAGCTTGAGGGAGCTGGTCACATCTCAGCATCCATAATCAGAACAGAGCAATGAAGGAATACTTGTGCCCAGCTCCCTTTCTCCACTTACACAGTCCAAGACCCAGCCAGGGAATGGTCCCGTCCACAGTGAGTGGGTTTTCCCACCACAATTAATGCATTCAACATAATCGCTAAGAGGCAGGACTAGAAGCCAGTCTCCCAGCTGATTCTAGATTTTGTCAAGCAGACAAACTAGCCATCACGTTGTTAGAGGAATCTATCCAAGAAAACTGTCAAAGGTTATGGGAAATGCAGATTCCAAGATTTCCAGACCCTCTAATAGAGATCACATAGGGAAATAGGGTTGAATTGCCAACAGGAAACCCAGCACAGTTCACCACTGTAGAAAACTACTGAACAATAATATTTAACTTCCATTATTGGGGAGGGGAATGATACTACTAGGAGGTACTAAGAAGTCAGTCATTTGGGGCATACCTTTGATCTCTCTCTCTCTCTCTCTCTCTCTCTCACT